CCTAAGTGTAGTTACAGGATGAGAGCTACGCTCGTGGTGTCCCGTCTTCCCAGCACTCTTTGTCATATAACGCTTTGCGTTATATGTGTGTGTGTGTGTGTGTGTTAGTTAGTTACAGACTCGTCACCTTCGTCAGTGTGTAGAGTGGCAGTTTCAGCGCCATCTATGAGTCTGCACTCAAACTCCCCTGGAATGGACGCTACGTAGACAACGCCATCTATTGGTGGTGGCGTGACAGTGGCAAATGGCTCCATGGTTTCCTGCCTTAGCTAGACAAGGAGGTCATTGTGGATGACCTCCGGTGAGGCGGCGGATTAAGATCAGCGCCACCTAGATTGTGCTACGTGCATAATGTCAACTCCCCAGTGAGTAAGTGTTACCGCCTGGTCTCCCCAGTGTACCGTCCTGTTAACTGATGACGTATCATGTCTACAGAAGTGACGTGTGGAGGCAGCAGTACTGGAGAAAGCAGTTTACCTTGGGCAGTCTACGTTCTCTCGACTTAGTCCTGAAAGACGAATAAGTAAGATGCCGCCGTTCTGAGGCAGTGTGTTGACTGCTGTTTACGAAGTATTGGAAGAGATCGGCATAAATAAATAAATAAATAAATAAATAAATAAATAAATGTTTATTCAGGTAAGGTACATACATACAAGAGATTTTTACAAAAATTGCTAGGTTTATAGATAGAGCTAGTACATACAATGCCTAAAGCCACTATTACGCAAAGCGTTTCGGGCAGGAAAAACATTATTAAAGACCAAAACTTAATACTAATTGAGTTTAAAGTATAAAATGTGTTGAGAACAAATAAAAGTAAAAATAAGAAAGGGGGGAACATGGCTGAAAAAGCAGCACAAATATAATTAGGTCGACAAACAGCGGTGTTTAAAAAAAAAACAGACATGGGTTGACAATACCGGGGTAAGGTAGGTTACAGGGAATATATTAGGTAGTGCTTCGTTTTTATTTTAACTGGTTGAGAGAGGTACAGTCTTTAACATGGTTGGGAAGGTCATTCCACATTCTGGGTCCCTTGATTTGTAGAGCATTTCTAGTTTGATTAAGTCGTACTCTTGGAATATCAAAACTGTATTTGTTTCTGGTATGGTGCTCATGGGTTCTGTTACAACCTTCAATGAAGCTTTTGAGGTCAGGATTGGCATTACAGTTCAGCGTTTTATATATGTATAATACACATGAGAGAATGTGCAGTGACTTAATGTCTAACATATTCAGAGATTTGAGTAGGGGTACCGAGTGATGGCTGCGGCCATTGTCCTAACAGAAGCTTTGTGTTGAGTAATTAGAGGACGTAAATGATTTTGGGTAGTAGAACCCCAAGCACAAATACCATAGTTGAGATAAGGATAGATGAGGGAGTAATAGAGCGTCACCAGGGCAGCATACCCCGGGACTGGCTTAGGGGAGAAACGGAAGACAGTGAGGTTCCTGTTGGGAAGCGCTGCTAGCCGGTCGCTATAGAGGCTTCTGCTAGGAGTTCGCGACCCTTGTATTGGTTGGTTTGTGGCCCTGATCAGCGAGTGGCTGAGGTCCTCTGACAGTTATCGTGGGGTATGTGCACCTCATGATATGGTCAGTGGGCTGGCCCACATAAAAGGTGAACTCGCCAGTGTTTCCCAGTACGGGTGGAAAAGGTACCGAGTGGGGAGAAATGCTCGGGTTGGCGAACACTGCATGTGAGCGCCAGGTGCCCTGAGAGAGAGAGACCATGTATTTAAGTATAGTAAGTCTATTATATTTAAGGGTAAATAAATTGGTGAAGGGAATATAGTTTTGTTCACACTCCCCTTTATTTATTCATTGCACTATATAACCAAATCTTGAAAGCGTACTAGCAACTTGGGGGTCGGATACAACAAACAAGGTTCATCCCTCGAGAACCCGGTTACTGGCCCATAGTGACCGTAACAGAGAGAGCGAGCTTCTAAGTAAGAGCAACAGGATATCGGCCGTCCGTCAAGATACATAAGACAGCCTAGTTTAGCAGAGCGAGATAATTGGGGAGTGATGGTGGGAAGAAGTGGACCACAGTGTCTTGGGGCCATACAACTGTATGGGACTCTCTCTTCACTCTAATACTTCACTTGATTTGTCTGCCTTTTTGGTCCATCTTTCTGTAGCTGTCTATCTCACTGTTTATCTGTCTATCTGTTTATCTACCTGGTTCATGTATCTGTGTATGTGTTAGAATGTCGGCGTGTTTGCTCGTCTGTGTCTTTTTCTCCTTATCTCTTTATATTTATATTTGTCTTTCTATTAGTCTGTCTATTCTTTTTCCCTTGTGTCGGTCTGCCTGTCTATTTTACCGTCTGTCTGTCAGCTGCTTGCCCGTGTGTGTGTGTGTGTCCGTAGCTTTCTGCGGTAACCCGACGTGAACATTGGGGACGCGGAGACCCCGGCATTATGGTCACACAGATCACCCCCGTCTTCACTACACCCTCCCACGCCTCCACACTCTCTTATTGTCTTGAAGGATGGCACTCTGTGTGTGTGTGTGTGTGGTGTGTGTGTGTGTGTGTGTGTGTGTGTGTCCGTAGCTTTCTGCGGTAACCCGACGTGAACATTGGGGACGCGGAGACCCCGGCATTATGGTCACACAGATCACCCCCGTCTTCACTACACCCTCCCACGCCTCCACACTCTCTTATTGTCTTGAAGGATGGCACTCTGGGTGTGTGTGTGTGTGTGTGTGTATTCACCTAGTTGTATTCACCTAGTTGTGTTTGCGGGGGTTGAACTTTGCTCTTTCGGCGCGCCTCTCAACTGTCAATCAACTATTTACTACTTTTTTTTCCTCTCCACACCACACACACACACACACACCCTCGTGTGTGTGTGTGTGTGTGGTGTGTGTGTGTGTGTGTAGAGGGGTAGAAGTAGACAGACGCAGAGAGAGGGGTAGAGAGAGCAGAGAGAGGGGTAGAGAGAGGAGAGAGAGGGGTAGAGACAGACGCAGAGAGAGGGGTAGAGAGAGCAGAGAGAGGGGTAGAGACAGACGTAGAGAGAGATAGAGAGCAGCTAAGCGAGGGAGTATATATATTACAGTACAGAGTAAAGAACGGGTAGGGAGGAAATAGAGAAGACAGTAGTGTAGAGATGATACAGAGGAAATAGACTAGGGAGAAGATGGAGATATTAAAGATATTAGAAATAACATAGAGTAGAGGACACTTTGAAAGTTGAACAAATCTATATTAAGTTAATTAAGAAACAACTGAATATATACAATTCGCAAATAAATCCCATTAACGTCATATATATCAATGAGAAGTACTACAGGTAGACCAGAGTAGCTTGGGGATTACAGGTACCAGAGTAGCTTGGGGATTACAGGTAGACCAGAGTAGCTTGGGGATTACGGGTAGACCAGAGTAGCTTGGGGATTACGGGTAGACCAGAGTAGCTTGGGGATTACGGGTAGACCAGAGTAGCTTGGGGATTACAGGTATAACTTGGACCGGCATCAGTAGAAGCCTCCGGACTTCCTGTGGATTCAGTGGAATCTCGGGTTGTGTAACTTATATTAAGTGGTTGTACAGGGGCGAGGTGCGCGACAGGGACTGCCTTCATCGCAGGTTCGAGTCACCTCGGTGCTCCGGTTGATTTTGCTCAATAAATACAATGTATTAATGTTCATCCCTAACGCCCTAGAACGACGCGCTAATTGTTACTTTATGTACACGTTAACAGTGGACATGTAGGAGTGGAAGCTGGCAGACCCGCTGGCTGGTAATGATGGCATACCAGGTAGTGGTGGTAGTGGTGGTGGTGGTGGTGGTAGTGGTAATGGTGGTGGTAATGGTGGAGGTAGTGGGGGTGGTAATTTTAGTGGTGGTAGTGATAGTGGTTGTCTTTTCCTTATGAAGTAGATACTTCCTAGTCTCCTTTCTTCCTTTCCCAGCCTCATTACCTTGCACTTATTGGGGTCGAATTTTAGCAACCATTTGTCTGCCCACTCATAGAGTTTATCAAGGTCTTCGTGTAACTTTCCGAAGTCTTCTGCGTCTTCTACATTCCTCGTCAGCTCTGCGTCGCCTGCAAACATTGACATGTACGAGCTCACTCCCTCCGGCAGGTCCTTCACATAAATTAGGAACAAAAGTGGTGTCAGGTCGCAGCCTTGGGGACCCCACTTGTCTCAGTCCTCCAGCTCCACGCTTCTCTGAGACTCTTGTTTGCTCACCTTCGGTTGTAGTTGGTAATACTTCGCTATTATTTTCTTCAAATGTAAAGGAGCTTAGATGTGGTGGTAAAATATCCCTGATTGGCCAAGGGAACCTAACTAGACGAGACAGTACCCAGGACTTATATTAGATGGACATTGACTGGCTGATGAGAGTCCACAACTGCAATGGCAAATAAACGGTGATTTGCTGACAGGAGTAGCCCAAGAGAAATGATAGATGGACTTTGACTGGCTGAGGAAACTAGCCCGGGAGTAAGAGTAGAGGATCGCTGGTTGGCTGAGAGAGGGAAGGTGTGTGATGGTAGGTGAGCAAGCAGCCTGGAGGGCCTGCCAGTCTAGCCTCAGCTGGCAGCAACAGCTGGAGTGGTGGTGGCAGCTCTGACGCACTCTTCCCGCAGTTTAACGCACTCAACACAAGTGTGAGCCAGTGTTACACTAGTGTGAGTAAATGTAGTGAAGTAGGTGACCTGATGCGGGTGTGTGCAGCAGGAGCCCACAACACGTGTGCTCTCACTCCTCTAACACACCCATGTCACTTTATTCTACCCGCAACCTGCACTTATTTACACTAATTTATTATTGAGATTATTATTGCTCTATTACATTTATTATTGTAACTATTATTCTAATTCTTATTCTTATTATTTGTATAATTAGTCATTGCCATTCCTTAGTGACGTATGAGCGATCTGAACTCAAAATAGACCTGAATGTTTTTATATGAGAAGTGAGTGTGAATGTGTTACCAAGATCATGACCCGTCATGACTCGCCCTCTCCCCCAGAGATCACCCAGCATGACTCGAGCCAGCCCGTGGGCGGTGTGGGCGTGTGTGTGGGTGATGACCACCACCCTGGCCGCCCAGGTCCAGGGCCAGGCCCTAAAGGGTGACCCCGGGGAGCCTGGTGACCTCGGGGTGGACCTGTCCCGCTACGGGGCGACGCGGGAAGGCAGGTCGAGGGCCAAGAGGTACTACCTCACCCTACCCTACCCAACTACACTCATTATGAACAACAAGATCAAGATACCCGTCTTCAGCAAGTTTAAAAATAACATTTGTGAGTGATGTTGTGTATTGTGTTATGCTGACCGGATCTCTCTCTCTCTCTCCGCATGTGTCTTACAGGGTCGAGGTCCTCTACTTCAAAATCAAATCAAAAATCAAAATGTTTATTCAGGTAAACGTACATACATAGAAAATGAGTTATAAACATAATGTTGGGTTTATAGATAGATCAAGTACATACAATACCTAAAGCCACTAATACGCACAGCGTTTCGGACAAGTCTATATACTTGGTCTATCTACCAGCGTCTATGAGCGTATGTACCAGTAGTTGGCAGTCTGTGTACGCGTAAATGTTAATCTCACATTCTATGAGCTCATATCTCAATGATATTATATACACGAGTCTATGTCAATCTATATGTAGTTATATATGTATTTATTTACCCCATGAGTACATATGGTCCCTTGAGTCTAGTACTGTGGCTATGTACATCTGTCAAGTTTTCTGTCTATACATGTTTGCCCCCCCTCCTGCTCCACTTCCAGTTCCTCTGGTCATCCCCCCGTCTCCCCCCACCCATGGGCCCCATCCCCCATACTCCCCCCCCCCAACAACCACTTACAGGTGAATGAGGTGATCAGTTCGAGCTGGTCGCCCCCCCCGACCCACATCCGGAGCCGTGTTACTGTACAGTCGTCACCGTAGGGAGGCCCACGCCCCCTACACCCTCCCACACTCCCCCTACACCCTCCCACACTCCCCCTACACCCTCCTTGACCCCCCTACACCCCCTGCACCCCCCTTGACCCCACTACACCCCCCTTGACCCCCTACACCCTCCATGACCCCCCTACACCCCCTTGACCCCCCTGCACCTCCCTTGACCCCCCTACACCCCCCTTGACCCCCCTACACCCTCCTTGAACCCCCTACACCCCCTTGACCCCCCTACACCCTCCATGACCCCCCTACACCCTCCTTGACCCCCTACATCCACCCTCACTCTCCTGTACCCCACCCAGAGTCTGTGTACCTTGAGCTGACGTCATGTGTGTGTGTACGTACCTTGAGCTGACGTCATGTGTGTGTGTGTACCTTGAGCTGACGCCATGTGTGTGTACCTTGAGCTGACGTCATGTGTGTGTGTACACCTTGAGCTGACGTCATGTGTGTGTGTACACCTTGAGCTGACGTCATGTGTGTGTGTACACCTTGAGCTGACGTCATGTGTGTGTGTGTACCTTGAGCTGACGCCATGTGTGTGTACCTTGAGCTGACGTCATGTGTGTGTGTACACCTTGAGCTGACGTCATGTGTGTGTGTACACCTTGAGCTGACGTCATGTGTGTGTGTGTACCTTGAGCTGACGTCGTGTGTGTGTACCTTGAGCTGACGTCATGTGTGTGTACCTTGAGCTGACGTCATGTGTGTGTGTGTACCTTGAGCTGACGTCGTGTGTGTGTACCTTGAGCTGACGTCATGTGTGTGTGTGTACCTTGAGCTGACGTCATGTGTGTGTACCTTGAGCTGACGTCATGTGTGTGTGTGTACCTTGAGCTGACGTCATGTGTGTGTGTACACCTTGAGCTGACGTCATGTGTGTGTGTACCTTGAGCTGACGTCATGTGTGTGTGTACACCTTGAGCTGACGTCATGTGTGTGTGTACACCTTGAGCTGACGTCATGTGTGTGTGTACACCTTGAGCTGACGTCATGTGTGTGTGTACACCTTGAGCTGACGTCATGTGTGTGTGTACACCTTGAGCTGACGTCATGTGTGTGTGTACACCTTGAGCTGACGTCATGTGTGTGTGTACACCTTGAGCTGACGTCATGTGTGTGTGTGTACCTTGAGCTGACGTCGTGTGTGTGTACACCTTGAGCTGACGTCATGTGTGTGTGTGTACCTTGAGCTGACGTCATGTGTGTGTGTACACCTTGAGCTGACGTCATGTGTGTGTGTATACCTTGAGCTGACGTCATGTGTGTGTGTGTACCTTGAGCTGACGCCATGTGTGTGTGTGTACCTTGAGCTGACGCCATATGTGTGTACCTTGAGCTGACGTCATGTGTGTGTACCTTGAGCTGACGTCATGTGTGTGTACCTTGAGCTGACGCCATATGTGTGTACCTTGAGCTGACGTCGTGTGTGTGTACTTGAGCTGACGTCATGTGTGTGTGTGTACCTTGAGCTGTCGTCATGTGTGTGTGTGTACCTTGAGCTGACGTCATGTGTGTGTGTGTACCTTGAGCTGACGTCATGTGTGTGTACACCTTGAGCTGACGTCATGTGTGTGTACCTTGAGCTGACTTCATGTGTGTGTACCTTGAGCTGACGTCGTGTGTGTGTACTTGAGCTGACGTCATGTGTGTGTGTACACCTTGAGCTGACGTCATGTGTGTGTGTACACCTTGAGCTGACGTCATGTGTGTATGTGTTCCTTGAGCTGACGTCATGTGTGTGTACCTTGCAGCTGGAGCGTTCAAGGGGTTCGTGCGCGTGGTGTACACACTGCCCAGCGACATAGTGTCAGCGGGCAGGAGCAACATTGACAGCGACCGCCTCATGGCTTATAATTCCATCGAATCTATATTTTCCAAGTATGACTATTTTCATTATTGTATGTTCATAGTGCAGTTTTTCCTAATTAATTTTATTGTCTAAATTATTGTTATTCATGTTTTACTTATATTTGTGTTTTTAAGTAAATTCGTTATTTTAGGGTAGGATTTTGATTTTTAAACCAAGAAATTGTGTTTTGGCGTTTTCTGTTTGAAGCTAAATAGTAAAGAGTATTATTTTACTATTCAGGGCATTTATGGGCGTAGTTATTTGTTATGTGAAGTGACGTCTTCTGCTAATTCTCCTGACACAACTGTGGCTACACTTACTACGACACTTACCACTACAACCTCTACTTCCACCACCACTAACTACCACTAACTACCACCAACAGTCTCGGCATCAACGGAAGAGAGTGCTTACTGAAGGCCATTTGCGAAGTGGCTGAAGAACCAGTTGACTATTACGGCATCGTTGGGGAGCTGCTTGCCCTCATTCTGTCGTAAGTACTCTCCTTGCCCAAGTTTTCTCTTAAGTTCTCTCCTTGCCCCCGTAAGCCAGAATTTGCTTAAATGTCAACAACCATGCATTGAGTACGTACTTACTAGTGTTTTAGTGCCCTAATATCTACCAGACAAGGGTTAAGCAAACTCAAGTCTGATCCACACATATATATTCTAAAACTGTACAAACCTATGGAGAGTGAGAGAGCGTGTCTGGTCTCGTGTTCGTTGTTCTTCCGCTGGTCGGTTGCCTCGCTTCTGCTCCTCTGCCGTTTTCTCTAAACTCCGCCGTGTTGTAGGGGGAACTTAAGCTCCTGCTTAAGGTTGTTGGACGCCACCTCTGCCTCTGGCACTGCATTGGAGAACGCTACTCCTTAGTACGTAACGCTGAGGTACCCTACCCTACGCTACCCTGGGGTACCCTAGAGTACACTACCCTGGGGTAACTTATAAGGCGTGTTCGCAGGAGGAATAATTGTTGAAATATTTAATGATTTAAATAGAGATGAGAGGGAGAGAACCGGCATCCATCATCCCCAGGCAGCGTATACACACACACACACACACACACGTGTGGGGCCTCGTGGGTGAGTGGACAGCGCTCTGGGGTTGTAGTCTTACGGATCCCCGGCAGAGGCAAAAACAAATGGGTAGAGTTTCTTTCACCCTGGTGCACCTGTTCACCTAGCAGTAAATAGGTACCTGGGAGTTAGACAGCTGCTACGGGCTGCTTCCTAGGGATGTGTGTGTGTGTGTTAGAAATATATGTAGTAGACATAATAGAGGAAAAATAAATTGGTTAGAAAGGCGGGGTCCAAGAGCTAACAGCTCGATTCTGCAGACACAAATAGTAAATCAAAACAGTAAATACACACACCCACACACACACAATTACCATTATTTTTAGCTTTAATTATTTGTATTACTATTTTTAAAGTGTTCCTGCTTTTATTATTATTATTATTATTATTATTATTATTATTATTATTATTATTATACAACGTTATTTAATTTATTAATGACTACGTACAAATTTGTATCCCCTGGGCAGCAAGTGTTATTTTGTAATTATGACTCCAGAGCCTAGAAGATGGCTGTTATTCCCCTCAAACTTTGCTTGGACCCCTTGTCTGAGACACCTTAGGGAGGACGTCTTGAAGGCACCTGAAGGTTGTGACAATGGTTTAGATAAAGTCGGCAACCTTCAGGTGCCTTCAAGACGTCCTCCCTAAGGTGTCTCAGACAAGGGGTCCAAGCAATTTTGAGGGGAATAACAGCCATCTTCTAGACTCTGGAGTCATAATTACAAAATAACACTTGCTGCTTAGGGACAAAAAAAAAATAGTTTGAGTGTATTAACGCCTTGTGAACCACGCTGCCAACCTCCCCTCACACTGCTTGCCTTCCTCGCCTGTCTGCCTCTCCCACCTGTCTGCCTCTCCCGCCTGTCTGCCTCTCCCGCCTGTCTGCCTCTCCCGCCTGTCTGCCTCTCCCGCCTGTCTGCCTCTCCCGCCTGCCTGCCTCTCCCGCCTGTCTGCCTCTCCCACCTGCCTGCCTCTCCCACCTGCCTGCCTCTCCCGCCTGCCTGCCTCTCCCACCTGCCTGCCTCTCCCGCCTGCCTGCCTCTCCCGCCTGCCTGCCTCTCCCGCCTGCCTGCCTCTCCCGCCTACCTGCCTCTCCCGCCTGCCTGCCTCTCCCGCCTGCCTGCCCCTCCCGCCTGCCTGCCTCTCCCGCCTGCCTGCCTCTCCCGCCTGCCTGCCTCTCCCGCCTACCTGCCTCTCCCGCCTGCCTGCCTCTCCCGCCTGCCTGCCCCTCCCGCCTGCCTGCCTCTCCCGCCTGCCTGCCTCTCCCGCCTGCCTGCCTCTCCCGCCTGCCTGCCTCTCCCGCCTGCCTGCCTCTCCCGCCTGCCTGTCTCTCCCACCTGCCTGCCTCTCCCGCATAATCCTACCTTTCGTGCCGTCTTCCACGCAGGCCCAGCCACGGCCTGACCACGGCCCAGGAGGAGCTGAAGGAGCACTGTGAGGCTGAGCGCTACGGCAGGAGTGCGGGCAACTGTAACCTCGCCTACTCCTCCTGCCCCTTCAACCTGCCAGACCTCCTCACCTCAGGACTCTCACTCCTCGATGGCTCTCTCTCCGGATTTTCCAAGCTCTGAGGTATCCTAGGCTGCTGAACGACTTTCACTCAGGGCTCGAACCAAGGTCCTCTGCTCTGAAAAAGTTTATACGGCCCATTCTCATGTCAGGCTTGTCCAAGCGGTGACAGACCCCAAAAATGCATTTTATCGTTCTATTGGATGAATGTTATCCAAAATTATTGTGTATTTATCTTTGCAATACTGTTATTGCTACTTGATATGTAACTGAAAGCACTATTCCCAACAAAGACAATATTTCAAGTAAGAAAATGACGAATAAACGGAAGTATATGTAAAACGAAGTCAAATTACACTATAGAATGAAAAAGCAGTGTAAAGGATGCAGGAGTAATCTGTTGTTGTTTTGTTTAGATTCGCTACTAGGAACAAAAAGTTCCAAGTTGCACGGGCTATGGTGAGCCCGTAGTTATAGGAGTAATATCGGAAGATCTTACTAACAAATTCCATATATAGGCAAAACAACACCATCCCTTTCAAGAAGCTTAACAATGCACAAGCAACAAGGCAATTAAGGAACATGTAGTCTCTACACATAACTAGACCATCACCAGAGATGGTCTGGTGATGAACCCGTCTGTGGTGTTGGAAGAGATGATTACTATGGAACCGCCTACCCGCCGTTCCTTAGGTTTATAACGCTGTAGGTAACAAAGCATCTCCTGTTTTCTGTCCTGTATTATAGCTTTAAGTTGCTGTTCCTTCTGTGTGTTACAGTATGGCTTGTTGAGCTTAAACCTGTTGGCCTTGTATGTGTTGCAGTGTGGCTTGAGCATACAGCTGTTGTATGCGTTACATCTGTCATTTTAAAGAAGTGGTCTGTTGTGTAAAATATAATCTTTATTATCGATCAAAGTGAGAGATTAATCGCCTTCTTACCAAATGTAAACTGTGTCAACAAAATTATTCGCACACCCTCCGTCACTATGTGATGGAGTGCGAAAAGATACGTGAATTCAGAGACAATTCTATAACCAATGTATCAACGATGTGTCAATATTTCGTTCAAAATGATCTGCTACCAAAAATTTTAGCCAAATATCCCCAGTTTGCTAATTGTAGGTAGTAACTAAGAGTGATTGTAAGCTATCCACCGCTGCCCACTGGATGGGGGGCGGTGTGCAGGACAAACATATCAATTGTAACACTAGCTCTCCACATATGTCAGTTGCTTAACTTAGAAACTGTACTTGTGGTCGATCTCGAACCCATTGTTGATGTGACGACTTATACTGAATTGTGTAACTAGCTCATCAAAATTGTAACTTGCTTAGCTAAATGAATTGTGGTGTTCAGTCCCTGAGCCCATTATGTGCCTCTGTAACCCTTTCCACTACCGCCCACAAGATGGGTATGGGGTGCATAATAAATGAACTAAACTAACTTCTTTATCAAATGTGTTGCAAATGTAAATGATCTTTAATAAACTTTAAGTATAAGGTGCACACAATTGACTTTATTCAATTCAAATTAATAACTATCTAAAATATCATATTTCCACATCTTGAGATAATAAAAACGAATTACTTATTTTTAATCGTTTACTTGTATAAAGTAATCAATATAAAAGTTACAAAATCATTCTTACAAAAATACATTTTACTTGTGTAGTGAGAAGATAATTGAGGTAATTATGGTGATAGCAATGGTGGTGATAGTGTTGATGGTGATGGTAATAGTGATGGTAATGGTGACAGTCACAGCGGTGCTAGTTACCGGGGGTGATGGTAGTGATAGTGTTGATGGTGATGGTAATAGTGATGGTAATGGTGACAGTCACAGCGGTGCTAGTTACCGGGGGTGATGGTAGTGATAGTGTTGATGGTGATGGTAATAGTGATGGTAATCATGGCGGTGCTAGTGACTGGGGTGATAGTGATGGTGGTGAGTGAAATACTGACTGTCGCACGCATATAGTGGTTGTGGTGACGAAAGCGGCGGCGGTGATGAAGGTGATGATGGTGATTGAAGCAATGAGAATAAACATATATAATTGAGTTTTAGTTTGACTGCAAAGCGCTCAGACTGATAGCAGTTTGGTGATAAAATAGTGAAATAACTCTAGACATAAGATATTCAGGTACCAGTCCACCAGTCACCAGCTGGCTCTCTCAGATCTCTCTCCCAGCTGCTTGAGTTGGAGCTTCACTGTAACTTTACGTGAGTTCTGAGAGCTGTGACGAGGTTGGCAGCAACTTTCTTGCTGGTGCGCACCAGGAGACGCATGAGGGCTCTGAGGGCTGACCACAGCAGCAGGAGCAGCAGAACAGCGACGGTCACCAGGACACCAGCCACATCGAGCAGCAAGTATTGGTAGAGTGGCATGTCGACCGCCGCCGACCTCAGGTGTTGACCGCCTCCGAACCGCAAGATGTGCTCGGTCCAGTAGACAGCTCTATCCAGGGGTAGTGAGTCTTGGTGACGGAGCAGCTGTGACCTCTCCTCCACCCTCCTGCGGTAGTCTTCCTTCTCCACAACGCTCCTGATGGCCTGGTAAACTGCCTTCTCTGTCAGTGTCTCCAGCGTCAGCCCAACGCCCAAGCCCAAAGTCACTGCCTGACGCACGTTGAGAGGCTGGTCACTCATGAGGGGCAGTCCCACTATGGGCACGTTATGGTAGACGGCTTCCTGCAGGGACAGCAGACCTCCATGCGTCAGGAAGGCGCGCACGCGTTCGTGTCCCAGCACGTCCTGCTGTGGCAGCCATGCCCGGGTCATGACATTAGACGGCAGGTCAGCAATGGCGCCGCCCTCCCACTTCCACACTATCCGGTAGGGAAGGCGGCCAAACGCTGCCACCAGCGAGTGAAGAACTGCGGTAGGAAGTTGTTCACTGCGGATGTGAGAGCCAAGACTGAAGAGCACCACTGGCACTGGTGACGAGTCCAGGAAGTGACGCAGCTGGGCATCCTGTAGTGGACGAGCTGGGCGGCAGTGCATGGCACCCACCTCTACCACGTTGGGCATGAGGGGGCGCGGATGCCCCAGAGAGTAATGAGAGTTAACCATCACCAGCGACACGTTCTTCTCCACCTCCGTCAGCGACACCGTCGGGTCTCCCAGAAACCTCTGTACAACACCGTCCAGTCTGTTCAACACCAGTTGTCTCCGCAGGTAAGGACTCGCCAACCTGTTAACGACAAGAGAACACGTGTTAGTCTTAATTGTGTCGGAGCTTTGTGTATATTACTATATTGTATAGCACTTGTATATATCACTGTATGGTATAGCACTGTTGTATGGTCATTGTGGAGTGTATGATGGAGAATTGCGTGTATAACTGTGGTGTGTGTAATGGAGGTGTATGGGTGTATGGAGGATGACTGTGGAGTGTATGATAAATTAGTGTGTGCAGGAGACAGGAGCCACAACTCACCTGACGATGGTGTTGAAGGTTCGCTCCCAGAGACTCATGTGGGCGCCGTAGCTGAGGTACTGGTTGGGGATGTAGGCAGGATTCTCCGGGTTTCCCAGCAGGTCTGCTGTCCATGGTGTCAGGCCGGACGTGGTCACGTAGATGAACGGCGCCTTGAACTTGTGTACCAGGGCCAGTCCGCACTCGTTCATGAATGCCGGCAGGAGGATTAGGTCTGGCTTGGTGGCCCATGCGCTCTGTACGCCAGAATCACGCAGAAAGGCGTCGCAGTACTCCGGCAGGTTACGCACAATCTTCTTCATCACTTCGGAGTTCACATCTCTGCCACCACTGGCTTCCCGCATCTTGAAGACATCGAAGCCGCCCGTCACTTTACGGATGGTTTCCCAGGCGTCTGCGGCCACCAGGTCGGTGTAAGAGCGTGAAGAATTAGCGGCGGAAGAAGCGTGAAGAGACGCAATGACGACATCGTGGCCTCGGGCGCCGAGAGCCTCAGCCAGCGGTGTTAATATGTTCTTGTGGGAAGCAGAGCCCAAGGGCAGCACCATCAGCACCCGCGACCCTTCACACACACCCGTCAGGGCAATGATCAGTAGCAAGAGCTTCATCGCTAACTTCTCACTAGCAATCTAGTTTTGAAGTGTGACCTCGATATCAGCACGCGGCCACTAAATTGTTGGCTGTAATTACAGCAGCTTGTGAAGTGTAGGACAGGACAGTTGGCACGGTTATGTTTGAGTGAGCTAACATTTTCTCTTATATACTCGGGCTGGGAGGAGGCGGCCCAGCTGCTTATTGGCTGCCAGGTTCGTCTCGCCACTCCTTATCACCTACCAATAACAGAATAATTTCCCTCTTTTCCTGTTTATGGCCAAGCTCGCATAGCTCGTGATAACTTGAGAGAAAGTTACAAACAAGGAAAGTTTGTCTCAAAACCCTTTATCAGGACAGCAAACCCACGAGTCAGGTGGACGCAAGAGTAGCAGCGGTTCCCTCAACTGGTACACCCCCATGTGGCCACAGCTGCGACATGTTTAATATGCACCACCCATCACCCTAGTATAACAATGCCATTGTCTAACTTACAAACCAGCCTGTGCTTAGACTGTTGTATTATGATGCTCAGAGTACTTCTTCTGTTGTATTATGAAGCTCAGAGTACTTCTTCTGTTGTATTATGATGCTCAGAGTACTTAAACTGTTGTACCATGATGCTCAGAGTAAATTGCTTGAATGAATAATTGCAAAAGCCATTCGTCTTCATCTTGAAAACATGGATTAATAAATGAGTCATAACATGGTTTTACTAACGGTCGTTCATGTTTCACAAATTATACTATAATTATCCAGCATAATTGAGGCAGTTGATAGTGGTAAGGTTTGTGATGTTGTGTACCTTGACTTTAGCAAAACTTTCTATACAGTGCCACATGAAAGACTGAGTAAAAAGATAGAGGCTCACGGTATTGGAGGATGCTATATTAAGTTGGACTATTGCATGGTTATAACAAATGAAACGAAGAGTTAGTAAAAATGGAGTTGTCAGAGTGGGAAAATGTTGTAAGTAGGGTGTCTCAAGGCTCTGTCCTGGGACCTCTGTTATTTACAATATATATCAATTATTTAGATTAAGGATTGAGCAGAAATATTTGTAAATTTGCAGACGATAAGAAAATTCGGCAGGAAATAATCTCAGACGATTATAAATCACTTCAATGCGATCTAAATAGGCTTTTGAAATAGTTGAAAGATTGGTTGATGTAGTTTAATGCTGGCAAATGTAAGGTTCTGAGACTAGGTATTGATAGTTATAAGATATCAGGTGGATGTTATTGAAATTGCGAAGTTGATTGCAAAAAAGATCGGGGGGTTACGATTAGTAAGAATTTAAAGTCAAATAATCTATGCATAAATGTTCGAAATAAGGCAAATGGGGCACTGGGATATATTTCTAGAAGCGTTAGCAATAAAGCACCTGGTGTTATTCTTGAGCTATATCTTGCTCTTATTAGGCTCATTAAAATTATGCAGTTCAATTTTGGTCGGCATACTATAGATTGGATATAAATTCACTGGAATGCGTCCAGCGTAGGATGACAAAGTTAATCCGGCAAATTTGGAACCTTCGATATGAAGAGAGATTGATAAAGCTCAATTTACATTCTCTAGAAGAGGAGAGTTAGGGTGACAAGACTGGGACAGATTACCTGGTAACATAATAGACGTAGGATCCCTTGATTGTTTCAGGCGTAGGTTAGACACATCTATGAATGAGTTTGGGTGGATAGCAATAGAAGCTGCAACGTACAGGCCAATATTCCTTCTGCAGTTTCCTTGATTCTTATGTTCTTATATCTATTAGCTTTACGAGGAGAGGAGGGGGGGATAAGATCTTTAAAATGGATGTGGATCTTATCTTGAGGTTATCTTGAGATGATTTCGGGGCTTTACTGTCCCCGCGGACCGGTCCTCGACCAGGCCTCCACCCCCAGGAAGCAGCCCGTGACAGCTAACTAACTCCCAGGTACCTATTTTACTGCTAGGTAACAGGGGCATAGGGTGAAAGAAACTCTGCCCATTGTTTCTCGCCGGCGCCTGGGATCGAACCCAGGACCACAGAATCACAAGTCCAGCGTGCTGTCCGCTCGGCCGACCGGCTCCCTGATGGATGGGGGGGAGACAGACTATCCCGGGCACTGCCGGGTATCCTTCCTAGTTAGTTATCAATTAATTTCTTAGGCTGCAAGCTATAGGATAAATACAGCAATACAATGATTAATGGTTAAGATGGGCTCCAAGAACCGCAGCTCGTAGCGCACAAAAACACTGGTGAGTCCAGAAGAAACTATATGTGGATTAAGGGTAGTACGATAGAACCTAAGTGGATAATATCCAACGATACAGATCGGTCGTGGGCTATGAGGCTGCCCATGAGCTGAAGCTCAACCGCCGCCACCAAAGGAATATACACGCACAAGACGAAACAGTATATTTTGTTTGGTCATAATACTGGTATGCTATACTGGTATATCATGATTGTAAAAAGGAAGGCTATAGTTTTTCGAGGTTACCCTAGCATTTGTTTAGTTAATGTTTTGACCACAGACATGGTCATACATCTATACAATACTACCGAGCAAATGTAGTTTCTTCTGTCCTCCACTGAAAGGGTTAGAGGTCAGCTAGACATCATATACTAATGTCTAGTATATTGAACACTCAAGCACAGGAGGAGAATATTGTGTGTTTACAGTGCTAACCAGGATACAGACATTCGTGTCTGTCTTACACAGTGCTGGGAGAGACAGTCGTGTCTGTCTTACACAGTGCTGGGAGAGACATTCTTGACTGTCTTACACAGTGCTGGGAGAGACATTCTTGTCTGTCTTACACAGTGCTGGGAGAGACAGTCGTGTCTGTCTTACACAGTGCTGGGAGAGACATTCTTGACTGTCTTACACAGTGCTGGGAGAGACATTCTTGTCTGTCTTACACAGTGCTGGGAGAGACATTCTTGACTGTCTTACACAGTGCTGGGAGAGACATTCTTGACTGTCTTACACAGTGCTGGGAGAGACATTCTTGACTGTCTTACACAGTGCTGGGAGAGACATTCTTGTCTGTCTTACACAGTGCTGGGAGAGACATTCTTGACTGTCTTACACAGACAGTGTTGGGAAAAACATAAGTACATAAGAATCAAGGAAACTGCAGAAGGACTATTGAAACTGCAGAAATACGTGACAGCTCCTACTAAGTCATTAGCCTCGGCAGGCCGGGTTCATGGGTGTGTCCCTTCAGGTTGGATAAAACAGTCGCATTTATTACGGAGTGGCGATTCGTGAGAACAAGCTGCTTTACCATCCCTCCAAATTAATATTAGGCCCACATTTCCTGGAGGAATCATCTTGGTTATCTGCTATCTCTGTGATATCACCTAGGGACGACGAGATAGCATCAGCCGGGAATTTCTGCTACCTCTCATACCGCCTTCCCTCACTGGTACTTACCTGTCAGGGACGACCTGTCAGGGACTACCTGTCAGGGACTACCTGTCAGGGACTACCTGTCAGGGACTACCTGTCAGGGACTACCGGTCAGGGACTACCGGTCAGGGACTACCGGTCAGGGACTACCGGTCAGGGACTACCGGTCAGGGACTACCGGTCAGGGACTACCGGTCAGGGACTACCGGTCAGGGACTACCTGTCAGGGACTACCTGTCAGGGACTACCTGTCAGGGACTACCGGTCAGGGACTACCGGTCAGGGACTACCTGTCAGGGACTACCGGTCAGGGACTACGGGAGAGTGACGTCCGGCACTTCATGTCCCGCCAACTAGCCCTGTTGGTCTGGAGACAAATGTTTGTTGTAGTGGTTGTGAGATGCGTGTAGTGGTAGGGGACGGGATGTACTGTATGGTGTATTTAGTAGCTGGTATCAGTGGATGGTATCGGTGGTGGTAGGGGATGACAGGTGTACTCACCTATTTGTGCCTGCGGGATCGAGCTATAGCTCTTGGACCCCCGCTTGTCTAGCTGCTGGTTGCCTAACGCAATGATTCCTGACCTATTTCCCTATCATACTTGCTTTTAAAGTTGTGGATTGAGTTTGCCTCTACAACCTGCTTCTTCAAGTCATTCCATTTACTCGCTACCCTCTCGCTAAAACAAAACTTTCTAACATCTTTGACTCATCAGTTTTAAGCTTCCATTCGTGCCCCCCTTGTTCTATTGTTATTCAGTGTAAAAATTTCCTCTGTTTCCACTCTGTCAATCCCTCTAAGTATTTAATACGTCTGTATCATGTCCCCCGTCTCCCTCCTCCTTTCTAATATCATCAGGTTTAGTTCCTTCAGTCTCTCCTCGTACCTCATCTCTCGCAGCTCTGGGATTAGTCTAGTTGTTAACTTCTGAACCTTTTCGTGCTTTCTTATGTGTTTTTAGATGTGGGCTCCAGGATGGGTCGGGGTACTCTAAGACTGGCCTCACACAGGCGGTATACAGTGATCTAAAATCCTCCTTATTTAAGTTCCTGAAGGATGTTCTGACTTTTTCTAGCGAAGAGTATGCGGCTGACGTTATTCTGTTTATATGAGCCTCTGGAGCTAGATTTGCTATTATGTCCACTCACAGGTCCTTTTCTTTGGTCGTTATAGGGAGTTGGTTTTCCCTTCATCGTGCAATGGCCTTTCGGTCTCCTGATCCCATTTCCATCACCCTACACTTGCTGGCGTTGAACTCTTGCAGCCATTTCTCGGACCAGCTCGGCAACTTGTCCAAGTCATCCTGGAGAATCTTAAATCCTCATCTGTCTCAACCCTCCTCATTAGTTTCGCATCATCTGCAAACATCGACATATAAGATTCAACTCCTGCAGTCAAGACGTTTACATAAATAAGGAATAGTATGGGTGCCAGCACCGCTCCTTGAGGCACCCCGCTTGTTACCTTACGCTTGTCCGACTCCTCGCCCCTCACTGTCACTCTCTGACTCCTGTCTGTTAGGTAAGGTGTCCACCACCCCTATTACTACACACCTAGTGATTGAATGGTGAAGATTAAGCCACCCAATAGGAGGCACGGACATGAATAGCCCGTAACACGCCTAGGCTGTTAGGTGTATAGTAATAATGATGGTGGTGGTAGCTGTGTATTAATAGTGATGGTGGTAGTTGTTTAGCAATAGTGGTGATAACAGTGATGGATGGTAGTTGTGTAGTAATAGCAGTGATGGATGGTAGTT